CTCAATCCCATCATTTTTGGACTTCACATTGCCAAAGCTTTTTAAAAGGGTCACAGCATAAAATACACAAAGTGCATACCACACTAATCAAATTGGAATAATGAAAGTGTTTTCTAAATTATATACCAAGATTTTGTAAAACACGGTTTTGACAATAATTGTTCAACAACTCTGTTACTCCAGAGTTGGAGTTTAGTCAACAAAAAAAGTAAATATTAGAGGCAATCTATTTTGATTATCATACTACATTGAATTAATCAGAGATTAATACTAGCCTGACTCAAGCCAAACAAATAGTTTGAACTAAAATCTCCTTGCCATCTTTAAGATGCATTAAGTTGCTTAGTTTCTGATTTCAATAAAGGGTATTTCTTTTCTGGATTTGCTTCTAATAAGAAGGAACCCAACAGCATAATAACTGGTATGAAAAGAACCACATAGATTTTTTTTTTTTAATTTGATTTATATGCCACCCTTCTCCGGAGACTCAGGGCGGCTTACAATGCGTTAAGCAATAGCCTTCATACTTTTGTATATTTATACAAAGTCAGCTTATTGCCCCCACAAACTGGGTCCTCATTTAACCTACCTTAGAAAGGATGGAAGGCTGAGTCAACCTTGAGCCTTGGAGAGATTCGAACCAGCAGTAAATTGCAGGCAGCTGTGTTAATAACAGGGTGCTTTAAACCACTGTAGTACCAAGGCTCTTAGATTAAGCATGGATAAACTATGTCCACCTTTAATGTTATCAAATTGCAACTTGCATCATTCCTCAACAGTTGACAGGCTTGCAAGGGCTAATCTAAATTTGAGTTCAAAGCATCTAGATCAGTGTGTCTCAACCATCCTAATGCCACGACCCCTTTAATACAGTTCCTCATGTTGTGGTGACCTCCAACCATAAAATTATTCCATTGACCATTGAAAATGTGTGTTTTCGGATGGTCTTAGGCGACCCCTGTGAAAGGGTCGTTCGACCCCCAAAGGGGTCCCGACCCACAGGTTGAGAACCACTGATCTAGATGGTCACATGCTACTTGACACTACAATGAACTATTGCAATGAGGATTGAAAGAAGTTGAAAATATGTTAACTTATTATATTTTGTTTGCTAAAGAATACTCCATACTCGTTTCAATCTACTAATCAAAAACTGTGACGTATGCTTAGATTTTAAAACAGTCTGATTGAACATTGAAAATAATAAAATTGTGAGAGTCATAGAATAATTTTTAACAGCTTGACATAAGCATAGCTATATAACTTGCAAAATATACTTTTGACCTGCTTGAGTATAAGCAAAGAGTCACCAAAGAGAATGCATATTAAGTTTGAGCAGGAACATCCCTCCCCCAATAGTGGAATATCTCACTTATCTGAGAACAGGATAACTAACACTGTGTTTTATCAGTGTGATTACCTCTATATCCATTCAAATGCTATTCTTTTAACAACTGCTTTCATCTGTCCTGTTTTAATCAGAAGTATTCTGTAAGCATCCAGTACCTCACCAACTCAAAGACTTGAGTAGAATTTGTTGACTTTGTAATGTAATGCTACCAATTTAGCCAGACACTACTTGGATGAATAACTTTGCAATAAATTGCTACTATGGTATTCTCCAAATGGCATGGATAACAACTCCTAGTCCTTTCTTGCTCGCCAAAGTGACAGTGGTTTATATCTGAATACTTGAAAGATAGTGGGTTACCTATCCGTGAAGCAAGCTGTTTGTTGGCAACCATCTGGAGCATTATTTCATTTTCTTATTAATTATCTGCCCAGTTCAACTTGCAGAACCAATCTGAAAGGAACTATTTTTGCCTCTAGTCAAATTATCCTACTTATAGAAGAAGACGTAGACAGAACAAACATGAACACACTTCTTAATTGTTGCTTCATGGATAATTTTTTCTTGTCTCAACATGTGTAACAGTAACAGCTAGGTTTATATTTTTGAGAAATCGCTATTATCTAACCAGTTTAATGTAAGACAAAAAACAAATCTAGATTTAAAAATGCAGCCAATTTTAAAATGCAGCCAATTTCTTATTGCTCTGTGTGTAAACAATCATCTTAAGGTCTTTTTACCATTACATTGAAGTTTTTAAAAGAATGCTTTGTGGAGGCACAAATTTGACTACGAACTATTGCTTTTATTTTCAGTTATCTTTTAAAAATATTAGTTTCATGGAAGAAAATAAGATGTTTATTCAATAATTGCAATAGAAGAGGAAGTATTTTGATGAAATTCAGAAAGAAAGGAAAAAAAACTATTCAATTTTGAAATAAGTTGTATCCAAAGCATAACCTCCAATGCTAAAGTGAAATATTGTTTGCCTTTGGCTTACTCTGATGTGTAGATGGTTCCAACTATATATCACAGTTTTGGATAACTGTGTTAAATAAAAATTAAAAAGGCACATTTTATTTTAGGATTACAATGGAACCAGATCTAAGTCAGTTTCTATTTAAGGGATAAGGTCTCTAAGTAGATTTTTGAATCGAGACCCAAGCCCACCAGTTCAAAATTTAACTTGGGTTTTAAATACTGAATTAAGTTTTAAAATACTCTAGGTTTTCTGTGCCAGTAAAAAAGAAATATAAAAATATATAAACAAAACGCTAAGCAGAAAAGGGAAGGAGAAAATAAACGTAGTACTTTGTATTCAAAAACAGGGGTCCCCAACTCCAGGCCCCCTGGCATGGCATGCCAGAAATGGGCCACACAAACAAGCGAAGCCCCATCTGTGGGATGCAGGTAGCACACTAAACCATGCCCCCTCCAGTCCGTGGAAAAACTTCTCTCCACCAAATGGTCCCTGATGCCCAAAAGGTTGGGGGCCGCTGTTCTAAAACTAAACTCTCTTTCTGGGAGACACAAGTCTACTTGGGCATAAAACATGCCATATACAAAAAAGGGGGAGGGATTCATCCATCTTCACATTTACCTCTGGGGCACAAGGTTACAATAAACCATGACAAAACTTGCATTCCTTTTAACTACTGCTAATCTCATTAGAGTTGCCATTAGGTATTTTTTTTCTTTGATGATCTAATTGTGGGAAAATCTCACTTCTGATAAATATACAGCACAAATTAACAAGTCTTCAACACTTTTTGTAACTACTGTAGTATAAAGCATGGGACTTGGAAATGAAACAATATTTTCAACTGATATAATCTTTTCAATGACTTTTTAAAAATGTAAGTATAGTTATCATCAGAATAAAATATTAATAATATAGTTTTTCAAAAAAACACTATATTAAGTACCACACTGGTTGAATCTTAGTATTAGCTTGACTTGTATCCACATTACACATGAAAAATAACTGTAGCATTCATATTGAATGATAAACACTACACAATTTTACTACTGTTCTATTTGCTGTGTAACATATAAAATATATCAAATATGAAATGCTGATTTCATGTAAAATTTCATGGTAATAAAACTCAGAAGTAGGGAATAATGCCACCTTCGTAGTGCTAATATTGCTTCAGGCTACAGAAATGTTGTGAAACTTGGCACCAGATTGCGAAATGATGAGGTAATGTATGTATCAATTTATTTGTAGAAATATAGCACTTTGCCACAATTAAGGGATAGATTGGATTTATAAAATTATTTTAATCTTATTAGTTGTCCTTTTGCATATATTAGTTTTGCATATATTACCTACATCGATTATGAGAGAGAAATGGGAGCATCAAGAGAGAATATTCCCAATTACACTGTTCCTGAGCACAGATTAGCAAACTAGTGACCTCAAGGATATTATATCATTTGGATAAACCTATTTTCAGCTAAGCAACATCTTTTTTCTTGTAACATATGAATCATGTTTACCATTTGTTTTCAGTGAAAAACAGCTGCAAATATTATAGGAACCAATTCCTAAAACTGATGTTCAGGTCTAACATAATGTGTATGAGCGGAGTGATTCTGCATATCAGGACATTATCAAAGCTTCAGTTAGCACCTCTGAGACATAGGAATTCCAAATAGTACTAGGGATAAAACTGAGGGGTTGTCTTCTTGCTTCCAAGAAGACAAACTCCACAGTTTCTTGGTATATAAGCGGCTATATCAATTTGTTTGGTAAATAATATAAGGAACTTGAAATTCTAAAACACTTTAAAGCATACAATTCTATTTATGCCCATTTTGGGCTGATTTATGTTTAGTTGATTCGGTCAAATAACAGTTCTGGAAAGCCAACAACCACATCCCTACTACAAGCGCTAAAATCAGTACGTAACTCCTGCCGCTGACGTGTAGCGTATCCGTTCAAGAACGTAGCGAGTCTTTTCCACCTTTGCTCACCCGACTTTCCTCAATCAGAACATCCCCGTTATTTGTACAACTGACACCATCGCAACAAGAATAGAACAAGAAGAGGGCATGCCAAACGGGGCAACGGTCTGTCTGTCTGTGTCTGTCTGTCTGTCTGTCTGTCTCTCTCTCTCTCTCTCTCTCTGTGTGTGTGTGTGTTGGTGTGTGCGCGAGAGAGAACACCTGCGTCTCTGTAGGAGGGTCAGTTCTAAGATTGCTTTGCAAAGCGATTAAAATGTCCAGGTACCACCATCCTGACACGTACATTTATTTGCCCCCCCCACACACACACACCCTCTTCATTTACAAGGCACCCTTGTCAATGTATTATTGGAGGGGGGGGGTTGCTTAGAGCTCCTACCCAGCCCTCCCGTCCATCCCACAAAAGCAGCATTGCCCTCCGCTCCTTCGCCTTTTGCCCAGCGGTCAGCCTGGCGCTCTTCTCCCCCACCCCCCATGCACCCCAGCGCAAACTAGCGCCGGCGGATAGCTGGTCTTCCTCCTCCACCTCCGGCCCACGCCAGGTCTGGCTAAGAGGGCGGCGGGTCTCCGAGGAGGAAGTAGCCTCTCCTTCCTCCTGTGCTCCCTCCGTCCCCCCCTCCTCCGTCCCCCCCCCCCTTCCCGGCTCCACAGCGCCCAATGCGACACGCCTCGGACTCACGCAGGGACGAAAGAGCCGCAAGCAGGAGAAGCGCGGGGAAACAGGCTGGGGACGCCGCGCCCTGCCGCGAACCGCCGCTGCCCGAAGACGCCGCTAAAGCCGCCGCTGCCATTTTCCTGCTTCCATCTCCTTTTCCTCCCATTGTTCCACCCCCGCCCATGGTTGGAAGAGGGGTGGGAAAGCTGAGGGGGACTGCCGGGCGCCTATTGAGCTGCGCCCCTGTCGATCACGCACACCTCCTGAATCCCACGTCTCCTTTTCACCAGGCTCCGCCTTTCGCTTCTCCTGGTGAAAAAGCGGTTGGAAATGCCAGCTGCCACTCTCGCTTGAGGGCGTTGTTAGAAAAGCACGGCCTCGCCCTCGTTGGGGGGCTGACACGTGATTAGGAGCTACTTAGGCGTCCTCTAATATTGCAGCAGGATTCGCTTTCTGGCCGGGGTTTTTTTTTTCTTCCCTGTCTGGCAGTGGCCCAAATGGAAGGAGCGTGGTAGTGATTTCGTGGCTTTTTCTTCGACGGCTATTTCCTTCTTTTTGGCATCCCAGTTATAAACCATGAGTCTGTTCAGAGGTTGAAAGTATATATTCTATTCAAGCCTACTTATCACCTCGTTCTGAGATAATTTCTCATATACAAATGAACAGGGGCCATTTTTTTCACATTAATTTCAACGCATTCTTAACAAATTTTCCTTGTTGTTTGATGTCAGATACAGCCAAGTGAATAATTTGCTGTTTTCTCCCATTAAAAGGTAGGAAAGTGTTTGGAAAAAAAAAGGTATGTTTAAATATTTCCATTATGGCAGGTATTAGAAATTAAATAATATAGTTTTGGGTACATTGTTGATTTAAGTCAAGTTCTCAAGCAAAGATGCTACTTTAAGAAGCACATTTCTACTTATTCTTTTTAATATACACATTTGGGTAGAATCATATAGTTGTAATGGCCCATTTAATTTCTCCAACTCACTCTTTGAGTACAGCAATCAAAATTAAGCTGTCTTGGAAAAGATGACTGTCTAATCTCCACTGTAACCCACCCAGGAAAGGGAAGGGTACAACTCCAGTGAGTAATTGGAGTCACTGCCAATCCTTGTGCATGATTCTGAAGTCAGCCATGCATTTACTCATCATACGTCCTATTTATGGTTAACTAGTGGAATCTTACCAGGTGTTGATTTCAGGCTTACTGATCTGAAGATCTTTGGATTCTCTCTCTCTCTCTCCCACCCACACCCACACACACTTTGAAATTGGGAACATTTGCCCTTCTTCAGTCATCTGGTATATATTTTCTCGGAATTTCTCATGGCTAATATATTAAAATTCACCAGATTTTCTGCAAGATTCGTCAGTTCCTAAGGGTGAGCTGAAGAATTATGTGCATTCAAGACCTCTCTTCCTCTAAAAATCTTTATTTTGTCTCTTCATTCTCTCCCTCAGAATTGCCTGGTGATACCCTCTTTATTAGAAAAAACTTAACTTTTCTTTATTACCTGTTAACATTCATTCGCTTCACAGGGAAGCCAGTGTACCCACTTCTTTTCTCTTTTTTGTACAATATCTAAAGTTTTAGTTGAGCTTTCATTTCCTCATTCTCCCTAAAATTATTGGCTAAGAAATTGCTTTTCTTTCATCATCTTTCCTTCTTCACCCTCCAAAATGTATCCTTTTTCAGATCTTCAGCAAGTTTTTTTCTGTTGCTAGGTGACCTTTTGCCCTCTATTTTTTAAAATTATGTTTCTTATAGTTTTAATGCAAACTATGAAGATTGAAAAGCAATAATTATGTCTATGGTATTATTTTTAAGTATATTCTGTCACAACATAGGGAACTTGTGGTGTCTAAAGGCCTTGCTAAGTGTTGGATGTGGAGACAGCAATAAGCAGAACTATGATGCAAAATGAATGCACACAGTTGAGCTTGAGGCTTTCAAAAACTTTCCTTTTTTCTTTCTTTCCAATCAAGCAGAACAGGAAGAAACCAGTAAATGTGACAAAGGTAACCATGTTAGTTTGCCACATCAAAAGAATCCCTAAATATTCTAGTGGAACCTTAAACACCCCAACCAAAACACTGTAAATATTACCCATTAAAATATTAAGCATCTTAATTAAAATAAGTAATTAAGGAAAACTAATTATTTTAGGTGTTCCTTCAGGTGTACTGCAACTATAGCTAGAAGTATTCCAAGCCAACCACTCAGAGGAACCACAAGATAGGAAAGCCTTGTATAAGTTAGCATAGTATTGCATCTGACAAAGAAATAAAAATTCTTTGAAGTAATTTTAATTTCAAACAATTTTATAATATTGTGGCAGGTATGGTAAAATAACACTTTTTACATTGATTGTAGCCAATTGTGCTAACTGAAACCTGGTTATACAGTGTTTATTGTTGGAAGAAACATCCTTCTGGGTTCTGCTCCAAGTGGGGAAAACAGACACTGGAAACATGGAGACTGCTTGGAAAGATGGTTTAATGGTGGACAGGATCACATGGCTTGAGTTCCTGAACAGAAAAAGGGCAGATACAGTAAATCCTCGGGTTTTTATGCTCTCTCTGGCTCTGCATTTCTTGGGGCCCCAAAAGAGTATCCTGATTGGTTGTCAGACTCCCAGGGGGTGGGGCCTTGCTGGCTGATGGTCACATGTGCTTCCCAGGTCACATGTGGTGAGTTTCTGCTGCTATTGTGTAGAGGGCTAATCCCATCTTTGGCAATTCCTACTATAGCTCTGCCTGAAGGAGGTAGATCTTTGTTATGTAGAGTAGACTGGCCCAGGCCTTAATGGCCCATTGACAAAGGGTGGGGGGCAGGAAGATGGGAGCTGCTTCAAAACATGCTTATCCCAGGGAAATATAATATTCTGCCTTTTTCATATTTCCTAAAATATTTCACTCTTCCAGGAGAGGGGTGGGTGCTAACTTCCTACAATCCCTACTCTTTTTTTTTTCAAAACGTGAGTTTTGAAACAAGTTCTTGGCAAAAGATTAAAATTGATCACATCAGGGAGCCTTAATGGGTGCTTTTAATTTTCTAATGCAAAGGGGAGGCATTGATAGAGGCAACAGAAAAGGATTCCTTCAGTGGCTTCCAAAAGTTTTCAACCATGAAGGTCTAGCAGGCAGGAAAAAATTTCTGGTAAGAATTTTACAGTATCCAATTTTCCATGCCAATTAATTTCAGATTTCAGATATTACTTTCTGTGAGCTTCCAGTCAGGTTTCAAGCAAACACATGTCCCAAAATTTTTCACAGCCATGATTTTCCTTTAAATTATAGGCTGCCCATTTCATGGGTTGATTACTGAACCTGCCCTAGCTCTTTATTGCATCCAGGATTTGTGAGTCCAAATTGAGGTTAGCCAGTGTACAATATCCATTCTTTTTTTTTTTTTTGGTGTTACACATAATGAGCCCTGGGATTTCTACTCATGAGACCACCAGTGCAATATATCTTCCTTTACTGGGCAACTGGGCAGCATCATTTGTGAGTCACAGTCAGGGCTTGGGTTTTTGGAGATCACTTTTTCTGCTATCTCTTCAAGTGAGGGAATTGCCTGAGGGGGTTGTCCCCTCCCCATGGAATTAGCAGGGAGGTAAGACTACTTGGGCTTTTAGTGCTACAGAGCAAAAATCAATCTAGGAGAAGCTTTGTGTGGAGGTAAGGGAAGGGAATAGTTTCAATCTAATTCTGAATAGTGTGTGTCTCTGTGTGTGCATGTGCATGCAGCTACTTTTACAATACAGGCAATACAAACATTTTGGGCATATTTCTCCTCTCCACCAGACAGAAATCTAGAGTGTACATAACTTGCTGTGGCAATCACTCCCAAATACAATTCTTACAATAAACTGATTACAATATAAATGAGACAAGAAAGAAAACCTTACAATGAATTTCCACCCTCCCCCCATAGTCTTTTCAGCTGTCTTCTGGGAATTGAAAAAAGTCTTTTGGTCTTTACTTGTACATCTCAGGGTCTTTTCTTTCATGTCTGCTGGTAAAATGCTTGGTGGTAAGGCTGGTCAGTCAGGCTTGGAAAGGTCTGCTCCATTCTGGTTGCTGTGCTGACTTTCAGTGGAGGCTGGATTCAAACCCAATTCCTGATTCAAACAGATGGAGGGTCTCCTTTGGAGGCAGCATCTGGATCCATGTGCTCTGCTTCCACAGGTTGCAGAGTCCTTTGTGCAGGGCTGAAAGACATTAGAACAGGGTCCCCTCCCCCTTTTTGTGGGTAATCTTCACAGGAAAGGCATTGTAACAGGATTACAGATTGGGGGGGGGGTGTAGATAGCTTGCAGGCAGAGTTTGAAAAGAAACAACACAACAGTATTGCAGTTACTAAACAGATAATGCAGTTTCAACAAAATGGAGACACAACAGATAAGAAAAAAACTGGATTCACATGCTTCAGGAAAGAGATGAACAGGTAAACCCATTTAAACACATACAGTAAATGCAAGACTGATTTTTTTTCTTGTAAATGAACTTAAAAACGTTTCCTCATAAACTTGAGTTGTTACTTTAAGATACAGAGAGGGAAGGAGAGAAAAAAAACCAGAAACAGAATGAAAAGTTCTCTTTACTCTATTCTTGTTGGCCAGACAAGTACAGGGCAAAGGCTCTTTCTTTCTTTTTTTCTCTCTCTCCATTTTTCATTGTTTCAACTTTTTTTTTTCCTAACAATTTAAAATTCTTGTCTCTAGAGATCAGATACATTTTACAGTTACAATTACCTCGAGGGTGCACAAAGACTTAGACACACACACATAAAAAGAAGAAGGACAAAGAGAAGAAAGCAGAACTCTGAGATTTCACACATACTGATCATTCCCACCATAAATCTCAGTTAAATTAGGGAAGGCACAAATCTTAAAAATACCACGTGGTTGCATAGAAGACAGAGACAAACAAACAAACAAAACAAACAAACAAACAAAAACCCAACATTCCTATTTATATATTTCCCTTTTCTTTTAAGTACCTTTATTTAGCCAAATTTGTCTCCCGGTGTTATCTCTTAGCAAAGCCCATTTTTGACACAATTTTCCTAATTTCCTTTTATCCATGCCCCTCAATATGGGCACCCGCCTGGCGTCCCAGGCCGCGAGCACTTCATCTACTGGGGTCCCCGCCACCCGCGAACTATCGCTACCCATGACCCTTTCCTTTTCTCCGGAAGGATCACTTCGACTTAGCCGGGTGGCACGCCGTCAGTTTTCAGAGAAAAAGCTCTG